AAAGACCTGCCCCCTTCCTCCACTGGGCAAGAAACGAACCCTACTTGTGGAATTGTGAGCTTCACAGTGCTTTCTAAGTCTAGTTCAAATGCCCAGGGGATGGCAGCCAGCCCCGCCTTCCCCCTCTGCCACGCTGGTCATGTTCATCTCTGCGTTGTCTACAAGGTGGGATTTTATGGTGGTTACCAGCCTGGGCCTTTGGAGGCTGCCTGGGTTCAAATCTGGCAGTGAGACTGCGGACAAATGACTTAACCCGTCCTGGCCTCGCTTTCCTCGTCTATCACATGGGCATAGTAATGGCACCTCACTCAGATTTCTGAGGATTACATGGGCCAGTGCCCCTGAGGCATGGTGAATGGCTCCTGGCACACGGTAAGGGCTGTGTGCTCTCGTCATTTCCGCCTTATATGTCTGTCTCGCTCACAGGCACTGGCAAGTGTCTCACTCCTGTCTGCAGACCCAGCACCCACAGTGGAGGCGGGCACACAGTAGGTACCCAAAAAGCGTTTCATAAAAGAGTAAAGGAGTCCGTGGTCCTGGGATGGGTGGCAGGTTAAGTGGACTCAGCCTGATCCTGAGCGCATAAAACAGATGAGCAGGTCGTGGGGTCCCCAGGAAGATGGACTCCGGCCAGAACAGGGCTGGGGCGGCCCCGTTCGATCTCCTAAGACACGCGATCCCCAGGGTAGACCACAAAACCCAACCTCCCTTCCACACGGCTCTCGCGCACACCTGCCCCTCTTCCCAAATCCTTCCTTGTTCATTCATTCAACAGATGATCAGTGTGTGTGGAATTAAGCGAGGCACTAGGGACACAGCCACAAGGAGCAGCTCAGCTAATCTGTGTCCCACGTTACGTACAGCCTCGTAGGGGAACCGGGAGGAATCGAGTAAATGGCTATTCCCAAATATGCTAGAGTCTCTGAAGTGCCCCCAGGATACAGATCTGCAGAGTGGGGTTGACTTGGAGAAGCAGCCCTAGGGCCCTCGCCAAGGTGGTGACATTTTAGGAGTTGAAAATGGACAGTGGTGTCACTAGCTGAAGGGTCTTCAAAGCCAGACACCTCAGGGCCAGCCTTCATTCATTTCTCCCTCACTCCCCTCACCCCTTCTCTTTCTAGAGGAAAGAATTGGGGCAGCGAGACAGTAGGGTCTGGCTGGACCGGCGAGTCCTCAAGAGAGGGCGTCAGCACCTTGGATAGCGCATGTGGGGTGGGGCAGGGGGGTTGGCCGTCCCCTGTTTCTCCCATGCCAGGTCGGGCTGGGCTGCGTGGGGTCAGAAACACCAGCACTAGCCACTTGCCCACCGTCATCAGTTCCTTTACCAGCTTCAGAGCGCCTTGGACAAGTTCCATCCCCTGTGAGTGCCCCCGTTCCCCCTTCGACACATTTGCGGTGGCACTGGCAGACTTGCTTTGAAGGGCCCTTCCAACTCAGTGAATCCATTCTGGAACAGAGGATGTGACTGCACACCATTCAGCAGAGCTGAAAGCTGATCTCCTGGGATCTTGGTGCCCTGGGGGAGTTCATGACAGCGATTTCCCACGGAACGATGGAGAAATGAGGACGGAAGAGACAGGACATTAAATGCGTTCATGTTCATTTGGGCCGAGTACTCTGCTAAGCCTGGTTGCTTCCAAGGGAATTTAAAACACAGTGCTTGCTCTCCACCCTCCGAGTGGCACCTTGGACAGATCTCTTCCCACCCTTGGGCCGTGGCTCCCCATCTGTGAAGAGAGGTGGTTGACTCCAACCCCCTCCCATACAGGCATTTTGCTATTACTGTGTCAGTCTGAGGTCGGATAGGACGGACTTCTAGCTGGGGGCCTGCTGGGCCTGCTGAACCTTTGTAACTCACATTCATTGCAGGTTCAGAGAGGAGAAGGTGCTTGTCAACAGTCACACAGCTTAAAAAAAAAAAAGAAAGAAAGAAAAGAAGACTGACAGACACAGCTTGTAATCAGTGGAGCCTGGATTGGAACCTTTGATCGCAAGACTGCAATAGGAGTTCTCCCCCCTAAGCCTGTATCCACAGGAGAGACTGACCGAGGAGCCTCGCATAATGTACAGAATCCCAGACCAGGAGGGGCAGGCAGAGCTCAGTCTTCAAGCTTAGGAATTACTCCATCCTCCTCCCGCCTAGTTTCTTCACTTGTCTCTTGCTGTGTGCCTGGCCGGGTGCTGGGGGCCAAGGCTCTGGGATGAAAGTAGACTCAGTCCCCACCTGCACTGGGTCCCAAGGTTAGCTGGGGAGACCCTCACAACACAAAGTGACAAGCCCAGGGGGAGAGAGAGATCAGCAGCCTGTTGTGCGGTCATGGGGGGAGCAAGGTCTGTGCCTGTGAGGTCGTGGGATGCTTCCCAGAAGGGGTGCATTTGAAAGACAAGTGGGAGACTCAGGAACCAGGAAACAGCAGGGAAGGGCATCAGGCCGAGGGACCAGAATGTGTGAAGCCACGGCACAGAGTCATGGAACAAGGATGCAGGCTGGGAAGGAGAGGTCAGAACTGGCCAGGCTGAAAGGTGCTACTTAGCCTACAGACGGCTGTGAACGTGTTAAAATGTAAATGTCAGTATTGAAAGCCTAGGAGATTTTATTATGAAATTCTGATTTTCAGTTTCCCTGAACTTTCTAGAAGATCTGAGCCCACATTCTCCATGGCAACAATCGGCCAGAGCTGAAGAACGGTTGGTTGATTCTGGCTGCTTCGCCCATTTATGTCATTTGAGTGGGTCCTGTAGACCTTCTGAGCTGGTATTCTCCAATCTGTGGCATCAGGGGCTTCCCCCTCCCTCTGTCCCCACTCCCTGCCAGCTAGTGACTAGCCCCAAAGTAAAGATACTGGAAGATGGAAAGTGCGTTGGGTGGTGGTGGCCTGGTGGGGGGGGTGCTCCTCATGCGGGGGGACAGAGCTCCTTACTCTCCGCTGTAAATGGCTCTGGGCCCCAAGCCCCTCCCGGGAGGCTTCCAGTCCTCGGTGACAAACCCACCTCTGGATCCAGGCGACAAGCAGCCTGATCTTGATTCAAGGAAGGATAGGGATCATGGCCTTTCCTCTTCCATCAAAATGCATGATCGCTTTCTCTCTGTTCCAGCAGACTCTCCGGGGTTGGCCCCGTTGGCAATGGTGGGAGCAGCTACGATCACTTTTAAATATTCATTTAGAAAAAGAATCAAACCTTTCTGCAATCAAATATTTGCTTCCAGATTTTTTTTTTTTTTAAATCCAAACACCTAGATCTTGGCAACATTCACTTCCAAAGAATGCAACTGTTTCAGTGGTTGGGGCCAAAACAAACATTTTTCCCGAGGCCAAATGGTTCCAGAATGTTTGCCAATTATTTCCCACCCTTTAAAAAATACACTAAAATTAGTAAAGCACTAACATTAAAGAATATCCAAGGCAGAAAAAACATCAAAGCACAAAACCCCACGACCACCCTCCAAATCAGCACAGCCATCCTCCCCTCTGCCCGTGGCTTTCCAGGCTTTGCCATGAGGAAGAGCTGCTTTGGGGATAGAGGAAGGCTAGTGAGCCATCTGTCTTTAGAGGTATGCAAGCAAGGGCTTGGCTTCACCAGAAATTCCCACCTCAGTGGGGCTGGCTATGAAGAACCTGTCTGACCCCAAAGGATGACAAGAATGTCTTAGCCTCCGTTAGAGCTCAGAGTAGAAGAACCGACATGGAACACAGTCTTTAATGAGGAAGTGTGGGATCAGGAAAAGTCCATCAGCTGCTTATCCTCGCTGAGCGTCCATTCCCTCATCTGTAAAATGGGTGCTAGCTACTTCACAGGCTTGTGAGGCTAGAATCAAGTAGGGTAGAGACCTTGAATGCTAGGTGGCTATTGGTTTTCTCTCTGGACCCCCAGCCCACCCACCGCGCCCATCTCTCTTCCCTCTGTTTCTGTCTCTGCTTCCACCTCCCCTGATCCGTCGTCGAACTTCTGTCTCGGGTCAAGCCATCCTTCTCCTTGGCTCGTGGTCTGAGGGCCAAGCTGGAGAGTCCCACTGGGGCAGGTGCTCCAAGATGAGGGAAACTGCCAAGGGCCTCAAAGAGATGTGGGGGGCTTCCTGTAGGAGGGGAGATGTGAGCCAGGCCCTGAGGGTTTGATTCACAGCAGGTACAAGGACATGTTAGCAGGTCGCGGCATGGGGTTGGACACCGCTCCTGTGTGCTGGAGATGTTAAGGAGGCATTCGAGTGAAGGCAGGGAGCAGGCTTCTGGGAACCCAGGGAGACGGGAGTGAGTATGTTGGACGAGGACCAGCTCCCAGCCCTTCTGCTTGCCCAGGCCCCCAAGAGCAGCGGGCAGCAGCAGGCAGTGGTGGGGTCTCTCCCTTTTGCCCTGGGTCAGAGCGCTGCCCGGACTCCCTTTGGGCACACCCACGCACTCACTCTCAGTCCCTGTGTACGCCTGTTCTTCTAACCCTCCCCCAGCTCCTTGAGCACGTGGAGACACTGTAGTTTGGGGAAGCCTGGTAGGTGGGTAAGTGGAGAGGTGGTGACGGGCTGGCTGGGTGGATGGGTGGGCACGGGAGGGAGAGGGACGGGAGGCTGGAGGGTTGGGTGAGTCCGTGGGTGTGGCGGCAGGCCGGGCAGTGGGCAAGTGGTTGGGTGAGGTGGAGGGCGGGTGAGTGGGAGGCTAGACGGGTGTTTCCAGAGGCAGGGACATGTGGCTACGGAAGTCGGGAGGCTGGGGGTGTGAACGGGGTGGGAGGAGGGTGAATGGTGTGTTGACAGGGGGAAGGTGCATGCGTGGGTTTGGGACTGTGGGCGGGAGGCGTGTCAGAGTGGGGTCGTGGGCACACTGGTGGGTAGGAAGTGGATGGCAGTGGGTGTTGGCGGATGGATGTCGGGGTGGGCGGGTAATGGGGACGGGATGCTGAGCTGGGACGTGAGGGGCAGGCCGCTGGCTGTGGGTTGACAGATGGGTGGGCAGTGGGTGCATGGAGGGAGGAAGGCAGCCGTGAGTACTGACCAACGCGTCTCTTGGCAGGACACCATCCACACATGGGAGATTCCTGGCCCCGGAGCTCCACACAGGAGGTCCCCGAGCTGAACCGCCAGTGCTGGGTCCTGGGGCACTGGGTGTGACCAAGACCCAGCGTGGCCCCCAGACTTCAGGCTGTCATCGGAAGCGGCCCCCGTGCCACAAGACCACGGGTCTGGTGCTCCTGGAGAGTTGGCCTGTGTGCTGTGAACTCAGCCAGCCTGTGTAGGAGACACAGGCCTGCCCTTCCCACCACCGCCCGGGGCTCAGGGCCCTGGACACGGAACCAGGGTGGCCTGAGGCATGCACGGGGCTGCACATGGTGACTCTGGGACGATGACTCCTGACTTTTGCCACCGTCACACACGGCGCCCTGTCCAGTGCAGCCAGGATGCCACGGAAGACACAGTTGTTGGCCCCGGAAAGCGGGCCGGGAAGTTCAGGGGGTGTCAGGCGGCGCAGAGCCCTGCCCGAGGCAGGGAGTGGGTGGGGCTTCCTGGCGCTGGCACCACAGTGGGGGCACAGAGCAGGCACACAGCAGGGGCACAATAAATGCTTGTTGAACCTGTTTTCTTGCTATGTGTGGAGGCCAGTTGCTCTCTGGGCTGTGGCTGCCCCCCACGGCCCCACCCTATCAGGTCCTCAAGGACCCTGAAGGTGAGACAGCCTGAGTGTGCTGGGGTCAGGGCCAGACACCAAGGTGCCCAGAGTGGAAGCTGGGTCTGGGGGGTTGGGGTCAGCACGGAGTCAGGCTGGCATGCTGCCTTGGATTCCAGAAGTGTGCAAGGTAGGGATGGGACAGGCAGGTGGGAAACTTGGAAGACAGGGCCTCAAGCCCAGGCCCTAAGCTGCCCTGACCCCCTGGGGATCCTTGACCCCATGTCTAGAGGTACCTTTATGTGGAGTCCTGGGGCTTAGGTGCCTAGAGAAACATCCCTATTATAAAGATGAAGGAACTTAGGGTAACAGAGATGAAGTAACCTGCCTAAGATAAGAGAGCTAGTGAATGGCAGAGATGGGGTCAGAACCAGGACTTTAAGAAGCCTCATCCCTTTCCAGATGGATTTCTAGAGCTTTCCCCCAAGTAGAGAATGTTCTGCAGACTTCCATACGTCCATCCATCACCAACTCATTATCTATCCTCCATTCTCCATCATTCATCCATCATCTGCCAATCCATCCATCCATCCATCCATCCTCCATCCATCCATCCAACCCTTCATCCATCCATCCATCAATCCATCCTCCATCCATCCATTCATCCAACCATCCATCCTCCATTCTCCATCCATCCATCATCCATCATCCATCCATCCATCATCTATCATCCATCCATCCTCCACTTACCAGGTATCATCCTTCCTTATATCAGATGTCCATCCATCTTCCTTCCTTGTATGACCATCCTCATCATTTAACTCCATGTATCCATCTATCCTATGATACAGTTCATTGTGCCCTTACTATGTGCCAAGCACTGCCGTGAGCACTTGAGATAAGATATTGAGCCAACCAGATGGGTGTCTGTCCTCACAGAAGGGCGTGACAGAGAACTAGACAGATGGCAGTTGCACGCTGTGTGGCATGCTTGGCGCCCAACTCTGGGGCCAGGCAGCCTGGACTTAGATTCCTGCCCCCACACTTGAGACCTTAGGCAAGTGACCTAACCTCTCTGTGCCTCATCTCCATGGGCACATGGGGATAATCATTATACCTACCTCGTACAGCTGTCCTGAGGGCTAACTGAGCTAATGTACGTGAGGCATTTAAACAGAGCCTGGCACATAGTGCTTTGTTGGTGTTTGCTCTCATCTTGATGGGGGAAAGTTAGGGGCTCTGGGATCTTAAAGGCAGCACCTGCTGGGGGAGGGAGGAGGTGGCAGTGGTCAGGAAGACTCCTTTGGGAAAAAGATGTTTAAGCCAATACATGAATACATGAAGGTTGTCTAGCTGTCAGGCAAGAGGGAGACTGTCAGAACATTACAGGAACCTTCCAGCAGCCTAGACTGTAGGTATGGAGAGAAGAGAGGGCCACAGGGGGTGCGAAATCCGGCTGCAGATGAGGTCGGGGGAGCTGGGCCAGAGTGACACAAAGCTTCCCTAGGAAGTTTGGACTTTATACTGGGGTGCACCCCACTGTGCATTCCAGAAGGATTTCTGCCACCTCTTCCCTCCCAGGCTCAGAGGGAGAGGAGAGGGTGGTCTGGTGCACACAGTGGCCCAGGAATAGGACAATGAGGGCAGATACAGCTAGTCCAAAGGGAAAGTCAACAGACTGATGTGTAGAGAAAGTTGGAAAAGACTCTCCGATTCCGGACTTAGGTCAGGTGCGGGTCCTGATAGCTTGGGTCTCAGGGTCCAGGGGACACCCACATAGCGACGTGTGCTCATTTACTCACGCATGCATTGACTGATCAAGTGATTCATTAATCCACTTTCCATTCACTCAGTAAATATTGTGCACCTACTGTGTGGGGCAGGAGACGGGTCTGGGAGGAGTATCAGGGCCCACTGACAAAGATCTCAAATATCAGAACAAGGAGTTTGGGCTTTGGCTCCTGGGGCTGGGCTCCCAGGTCACCAGGCATCCTAAGGCTCTATCCTCAGCCAGGGTCCTTCTGTAGTTGGCGGCTGGACCACCAAAGTCCAGGAGAGATGATTTTAATTGACATATGGGCAAAAATTTAATCTATTTTAATAGTTGTGTTTATGTCAATGTGTATTAGGAAAAATTGTATAACGGGCACCTTAGTGTCATGATTTCACAGACGCTGTTGCTTAGGAAGAAACCAAAATAGGCATTTAAGTAAAAAGACAAAGAACTGGTTTGAAGAAACATACTCAATAAATAATCGTGCAAGTGGTATGTGATTACGGTATGCGGACGGCCCAGTGAAGGCCTTTCTAACCCCCTGATCAGTCCATCCATCGGTCCTCCCGTCCCTCTGGGCACCTATCGGGCAGAGAGGGTGAGCCCCAGCTGTCTTCCCGTCCCGCGGAGCCAGCAGCAAGAAGGCTGCTGGAGAGGGGAAAGGAAGCTTTGTCTGGCCGGCCCGAGGCCTGGTCCCAGTGGCTTCTGCTGAGTGTTCCTGGGAGGGTGGTCTGCACGCAGGGAGGAAGGAAGACCACACAGGCTGAAGGCAGGAGGTGTCTGGGTGCCCACACCCAGCGTCCCCGCATCCACGCTCCCGGGGCTCCTGTGTCCACGTCAACCGCGACAAGCCTGAGTTGACACTTAGTGCTCTGTGTGCACCCGCTGGCCCCGAGCACGTGCTCCCAGCTGGTCCGGGACATGGACGGGCTTGCGTGTGCTTGGGGGCCTGCTGTGGGGCCATGCCTTCTTGTTGGCTCACATCGCCCCCTCTTCCCAGGGGAGCCGTGGGGGCCCCAGCCCAGGGCTAATGGGCAGGCCCAGGCCTCAGGAAGTCGTAGAGCTGACCTGCCTCTTTGGCTGGTGGCTGTGATGCGCAGTCGTCCCCGCCACCCTCACCAAAGCCAGCCTCTCTTGGCCACACCCTTGTCTCTGCAGGTAACAGAAGCGGCAGCTTGATTCCCGGGCTTCCCTTCGCTGCAGCCAGGCCTGACTTGTCGCACTGGGGAGGCTTGTCCCCCGGGGAGGAGGTGAGGACCGAGGAAGGTGTCAGAGGCCGTGGAGTTAGTTCAAATCCCGAGACTTCCACAGACCTGCTGTGGGTCCCGTTTGTCCATGAACTGCTCACGGAGGGGAGGGCTCCCGTGGGCCAGGCACGACAGTGCAGGGGCACCGCCATGGTGGGTCAGGAGGACACAGTCCTCACCCTCACGGAGTTTGTATTCCAGCGAAGAGACAGAGACGACTCAAATCATTCCAACAACAAAACTATCACTTCCAAGCGGGAGGAGTGCTATGTAAGCCAACTCAGAGAAGGCCTGATTCATGCTGGAATGGAGAGGGTGGGCGTCTCAGGAAGGGCCAGCAGGGACTGAAGGAAGCAGCAAGGGAGTATGGGTAGAAGAACAGAAGCATGTTCAAAGGCCCTGGGGTTGAGAGGAATGTGGGGTGTGGGCTGTGACAGGACACAGCACTTGGAGCTCGAGGCGGGGGCATGAAGTCTGCTGCTGAGCCATTGGTCTTCAGGGGTTGGAGCCTGTGGGGTCTGCGGGTGATGGCCAGGAGTGTGGCCTTCAGCTGGAAGGCCACAGGGAACTATGGGCAGGAGGATTTTCAGAGGAGGACCTGGCAAGTTGCTCCTGGCTGTGTCGGGCCAAGGCCTGGGAGATGGGGTGCAAGGCAGAGGCAGGGTGAACAGAGGGGGTTGTGGCAGATCCTGACAGGTAACAGTGGGGGGCTCAGGCTGTGGGGGGTACCAGGGATGAGCTAACCCACCTCCATGCAGCCTGGGGATGGGTGAAAGCACGAGGCACACCAGGGCTCGGCTGGCTGTTCTCTGAGGCTCCTGTCTGGGCTTTGATGCTGCACAGACGGGGACATGGAGGGCCACTCGGGGCCATGGCAGGAATCGGGGGAAATGTCATCTGAGCGGATGAGTTAGAAAAGCGCCTGACCTCCAACCACAGGCGCTGCGGCCCCGGGGCACATGGCTTGGGGGGGGGCTGGAGTTTAGCGCCACTCACCCCTCACTCTGGGGCTGTGACCAGTGAACAGATCGCACTGCCACATGGGTGGACGGCCCCACTGCGGGACTGAGGACAAACTCAGCCCAGCCAGGGACCATCAGTCATGAGGAAAAACCAATCTCCTCCGTGTGGGGATTTACTGCCTGGGCAGACAGGAAATCCCGGCGCAGGACCTCTGCCCTGTCCCTGGCCCTGCCCAGCCCACGACACCCTGGTAATAGCTTTTGGGGACACATTTCATCCTGGGCTGACACCAGCGAAGCCTCCACCTACGGGGAAGCCCTGGCAGGGGAGTGGGGCTCTGCCAGGAGGGGGCTGGGCCGAGGGGGGCTGAGGGCGCCCTGGGATGCCAGGGGGAGTGGGAAGGGGGCTTCTGTGTGGGAACAGTTCCACCGCATGAGGCTGAGCTCGCAAGTCCCTGCACCAAGCCCAACTCCCCACCCGTCCTCGGGCCCTCCTGATCCCCCCCAAACCTGGAAATGGCCAG